CTCCGCACACACATAAGGACTCACACCGGTGAGAAACCTTACAAATGCCATACATGCGGCAAAGGGTTCAGTGACAGCTCCAATCTCCGCACACATATAAGGACTCACACCGGTGAGAAACCTTACGAATGCCAGACTAGCTGCAAAAGGTTTCGAGACGGCACTAATCTCAGTAGACACGTGAGGACGCACACAGGTGGGAAACCTTACAAATGTCAAACTTGCGCCAAAAGATTCCGTCAGAGCAATGCACTCCGTAGTCACATGAGAACTCACACGGGTAAGACACCGTACGAATGCCAGACTTGCGGTAAGGGATTCACTGCAAGCACCACACTTCGTATACACATGAGGACTCACACAGGTGAGAAACCTTATCCCTGCCAGACTTGTGGCAAAGAATTTAGGCAACGTGGTCATCTCCATGTGCACATGAGAACTCACACAGGTGACAAACCCTATCCCTGCCGGACTTGCGGCGCATGCTTTTTCACGAATTCTAATCTCAAAAGACACATGATGGCCCAACATCGGTGTTAAACCATACATTTACCAGACTTTTGGCAAAGGTTTCTCTCATAGTGCGCACGTTTGCAGTCATACACCGATTAGAAATCTTTCATGTGACACTCCATCCGCCCCGCCACGTTCACAGGGACTGATAATCGCCGCGGACACATGACTAGGTGTCGCCATGAATTGTAACAGGAATAATTTTTATTAAGAGCGACCATCATAGCAAAATCCAATTATTTAATGTATTTTTGAGCTTGTTTTAGTTTGTTGTTTTAAATCTCAGCTGTTTGTTTGCCTTTTGAAATTATTAAGTAGTCATTAGTACTCTGTGTTTAGTTTGCGCTTCTGCTTTTGGCGTCGCCAATTTTGCCATATTGATTTTTATTACAATATAACTGTAGTTTACGAATTTATTCAATAAAATCTTTATAAAAACCAACACTATAAAGAATTGAATTGCCGCGCCGCTCTTCCCAGACAAGACCCCAACGCAATTTTATCTCCTGCTAAAGTTCACCACCGCACACCACGTGCGCGCACTGCTGCTGCCGCACCTGTGTCGTGTGCGGCGCACACGTACTGCCGTACAATGTACCGTACACTGTACGCTTCTGGTCAAGGCTGTAAGCGTACCCTATGTCAAGAGAGAGAGAGACTTTCTGAAGCGCGGGCGAGTGGCCCGTTTGTCACAGGGCCTTTAGGTAGCGACCTATCTCGGCCCGGGGGTTAGTGGCGCGATAGTCTCGATACCCCATGTCAAACTGCTTGCAGGGTTCTCCTCTTGCACGGATTATCGGCGGCCTTCCCCCGACCGCCGCCAAGTTGCTGTGTATCAATCGGGTGTCATTTTGCTGGCCGCATTTCGAACGCCGTGAGCATGTGCGGTGGCGCGTGCATGCGAGAAAGCGCTACCTTCTTCGGCCTAACAAGTCCCCACACAGTCATCGCTCCCTTCGAAGTGGTTTGCTCCGTCTTCTAGCCCGAGAGTTATCTCTTCTTTCCCTTCTTCCAGGCGCCGCCCCCGGGGCCAACACCTCCGAGCACAAGAACCCCCAGACCAGGACCTCCGCGGCCCCCCGCGTCCCCAAGCGGGCCGTGAGCCGCAAGGCGCGCAAGGACCCAACGCTGCAGGACGCTTCTCTCTGTAAGTTTCACGGCGGCCGGCTGGCGCGTACGTTGCGGTTGCCTACGCGTTTGGAGCCTCAGGGCGCCATGCTTTCTTGTACCGAGTGTACCCAGTGTTGTGGGTTTGCATACCCACAGGGGCTATGGCCCCTTACGGGCACATCGGGTACGCAAACCCGCCACACTGTGGTGTATTGCCTTTACAGACGGTGGTGCGTTGGCCAACCCGCTCGCACGTCAGCATGCTCGGACGGCTCGCCCGCGTCGGCCCGTCTGGATCCGGGTCCGGGCCAGGAGGTTCCTTGTTTACCGAAACCTGTCCCCCCCCCTCTCCAGACCACGGTGTAGAGAGTGTCTCTACGCCGTGCTCCTGACACTAAGCCGATGATCGCTCACCCTCCACGCTCTCCCCAACAGCCGCCACACCCCACCGCCTGCTGATGACTGCGGCGGACAGCTGGCGCAGGTGCGCAGGTGCATGCAGGCTAGGCGTGCTTATGCTTATGCGCTCGGAGCCTCAAAGCGCCCTTGTGGATAGGCCAACGCGCCAACGCGCCCGTAGTGCCGGGTGATTCATAGGAGACGGAGGTGCGGGCGGGTTTGCCTACCCTAGGGGCTATGGTGCCTTACGGGCAGAGCGGGTAGGCAAACACGCTCGCACCTGCGTCTTCTTCAAATAAATGAATCATGTTCGGGACTGCCTCTCCCCCTCCCCCTTCCCCCCGCCTCTGTTTACTGTAACTTTTCCGACCCCTGCTGACTATGCCGATGCCGAATGAGCACTCACCCTACTCACCCTCGCCTCCACGCTCTTCTCCACAGCCGTCGCCAAGCCACCGCATGCTGGTGCTGCTGCTGCTGGGGCTCGCGGGGAGCAAGCGCAGGGCGGACAGGACCGCGGCCAGCAGGACGCCGCCGGGAAAGCGCCCCACCGCTGTGTGACCTGCGGGGCGGCCTTCAGAAGGGCGGCCCTCCTCCGCGCCCACATGCCGACCCATGCCGCCGATGGACTGAATAGCTGTGCACACTGCGGCGTCACTTCAGCGGGTAGTACTGGCCTCCGAGGACACGCGGGGACTCACACAGGTGAAAGACCCTACAGCTGCCAGACTTGTGGAAAAAGATTCTCTCAAAGCGCAACACTCCGTGCAAACACGAGGACTCACACAGGTGAGAAACCTTACATATGCCAAACTTGCGGCAAAGGGTTTAGTGATAGAACCAATCTCAGCTCACACTTAAGGACTCACACAGGTGATAGACCATACAATTGACAGACTTGTGGGAAAGGGTTTAGTCGTAAATACAATCTCGATGTACACACGAGGATTCATACAGGAGATAGACCCTACAGCTGCCAGAGTTGCGGGAAAAGTTTCCGTCGAAGCAACGACCTCTGTGTACACATGAGGACTCATACAGGTGAGAAACCTTACGAGTGCCAAATATGCGGCAAAGCGTTCACTAAAAGCGACAATCTACGCTCACATGTGAGGACTCACACCGGTGAGAAACCTTACAAATGTCAAATTTGCGGCAAAGAATTTTCTCAGAGCACAAAACTCCGTGTTCACATGAGATCTCACAACGGTGATAAACCTTACCAATGTCCAACTTGCGGCAAAGGATTCACTGAGCGCACGAAACTCCGTGAACACGTGAGGACTCACACAGGTGAAAAACCTTACGAATGCCAATCTTGCGGGAAGTGGTTCACTCAGAGCGCGTCACTCCATAGACACACGAGGATTCACACAGGTGGGCGTGAGGAACCCTAACACTGCCAGTGGCAAAGAATTCAAACGTAGTCCTCTTCATGGCATGAGAAGTCACACAAGTGAGTAACCTTACAAAGACGGACTTTCGGTGCGGGCTTCCCTCACGATTTTTTCTCTCAAACGACACATGGTCAAACCACACTTACCAGATTTTTAGCAAAGGTTTCTCATGCTGCCCGTCTTTAGTCACACATCGTTGAGCAATCTTTCATGCCACAGTCCCGCCGCGCCGCGCAACCTGAACGGGGATTGAAAATCTCCGCAGCCTCTGGAATATGTACCTCCACGAATTAACTGAAATTATCTCATTGATAGCGACTCGAGTTCAATTATAAAATTAATTACCGACGCTAGTTTTATTTTGTTGGTTTTATATCTCTGTTGTTTGTTTGTCTTTTTTAATTACTCTGTAATGTGGAGTACTCTGCTTATTTTGCGCCTTTGCTAATAGCGTCGTCAGTTTGGCTAATAAATCTATACAAAAACAAATACGTACAACAACAACAAAAATAATTTCCGTGCTGCCCTTTGTAGACAAGACCACACAGACAATCTATCTTCGCCTAAAATTTACCATAGAGCGGCAATGCCATGCGTGGTTGCTCTCTGGCTTCCGCCCCGGGATTTTAGTGTGCCGCGCGCTCATACTGCCCGTGCACCATGCGCTTTTGGTGTCAGTGTTACGCGTACCGGTTACAAAACTGTCATTAAGGTTCTTTTTCAATACGGAATGCAAGCCGCCGGTGGCCTTCCCCCGACCGGCGCAAAGTTGCCGGGTATCCAACAGGCGTTACTCTGAACCCCGCTCGTCGCGCCCACTGCGCTCCCCTTGAAAGTATTTCCTCCGTATTCGAGCCCGAGAGTCATGCCTTCTTTCTCTTCCTACTAGGCGCCGCCCCCGCGGCTGGGACCTCCAGGCGCCAGACGCACGAGCCCAGAACTTTCAGGCTCAAGACGCATGAGCCCAGGACCCCCGAGCCCAGGACCTCCAGGCTCAAGACGCACGAGCCCAGGACCTCTGCGACACCCAGCTTCACCAAACGGACCGTGACCTGGAAGAAACACAAGCAGCCGAAACCACACGACAACGCCCTCCTTTGTAAGTATAACACTGCGTCGAGCCTGTGCGTGCGGGCGGGCGGGTTGCCTACGCTCGGTGCCTCAAGGCGCCATGTGCTCATGCTTGTTTGGTGGGCCAACCTGCCCCCCGCCCGTCCATGCCCGTGCGTGTCGTACTCACGTCAGTCCGCCCCCTGCCGACTATGCCGACATATCGCCTCGCATATCGCTCACCCTGCGCGCTGTTCACCACAGCCGCCGCCAAATCGGCGCCTGCTGGTGCTGCTGGGGCCCGCGGGCACCAAGCGCGGGACGGAGGGGACCACGGCCTCCAGGACGCCGCCGCGGAGGCGCCCCACCGCTGTGCGACCTGCGGGGCGGCCTTCAGGAGGGCGGCCCTCCTCCGGGCCCACATGCGGACCCACGCCGCCAATAAAGTGGACAGCGGGGAACACTCCGACGTCAGTTCAGAGGGTAGTGCTGACCTCCGTAGACTTGACGGGACTCGCACAGGTGATGCACCTTAC